AAAAATGGGAGAATTTGAAATTCCTCATATTTGTTTTTCTTATTTCACCTATATATTTTATCTTATCTCTTCATTCTTTTAATTATTGGATATTCAAAAATATTTTTAAAATTATTAAATATTATCTTATATTAATTTTTAAAATTATTAAATATTATCTAATATTAATTTTTAAAATTATTAAATATTTAAAAATGGATTAATATTTATTTTTATAAAATTTAATTTAAAAATTTCAACATATAAATATATTTTTAAAATTAATTTTACTATGATGGAATCAAATTATCATATTCAACCTAATAATTTAAAATTTAAAAAATTTGAATTGACTCATCCTAACAAAATATTTTAAGAATGATAGAAATTAAAATCAAAGTAATTCAAATGCCAAGAATTTAAAATTCCTTGAATTTATAAAATTCTTCATCCAAACAAGCTATAAATGATTTATCAATAGTCTATTTAGATACATAAAAGGAAAAATATAAATAATAACATATTATCAGCTAATTAAAAATTAAGATTAATTTTTAAAAAAGTTTTATCTTTTACTTAATTTTTAATTTTCAATTTTGATTTAAATTACATTTCTTTGTTTTCGATTCCAGTTTAAATTATTTTCTTCTTACATGACTTTCTTTCCTCTCAAACAATGAAGGCGCGTGTTAAGTACACGAAAGAGGAGCGAACGTAATGGCAGAATCAATCAAACAGGAATCTCGTATTCTACGATGAAGCCACGTGGTGCCATCCCCGGCCGAAGCAGACCGAAAAGTGGAATACAAAAGAAAAAAAATACAAATAAATATGCTATATTCACTTAAAAAATTGTAGATACATAATTAATTAATAATAATATTATAATAATTACTTAAAAACAAGGATAAATTACTCTTTTACCATTCTTTATATTTTTTATTTATTAAAATATTTAGTTTAATCTCAATTAAAAAAATGTAATATAATCTTTATAACTCGTGATACATTAAAAAAAATAATAAATGTTATAAAAATTATAAAATGTCTTATAAAAAAGTTATCATTTTACCATTTCTTTTGAAATTGTATTTTATAATAATAAGAATTAGAGATAGTAACATGCAAGAATGTGTTTGAAAAACTTGTAAAATATATTATTTTAATAATTGATTATAATCAAAACAAATTTTTATTTTTAAAATTTTAATTTGTTAAAAATTAATATTTAAATACTTAATTTTGTTTTGATATATAAAAAATATTAGTTTTGTACGAAGTAAATTAGCTTTGCGCACGTGAAAATGAGTAAGAAATAAGTGTAAGAGATAATAAAAAATATATGAAAAATAATAAAATGTGTGTTTGATTGAGAAAAAAAAATAAAAATAAAAGAGCTGTGAAACCACTGCATTAAATTTCGTCACTCAACGACAAAGAAATTGATTACCATATAAAATTTAATCAATTAAATTATTACTTAACCGATTATACTTCAATTTTATAACTTTCATATGAAACACTACTTTTAAAAGGAAAATTTTAACTGATTGTAACTTTTATAATCAATAAAATCTTTTGATTTAACCGATTAACACAAAAAAAAATAATAATAATTACACTTCATTTTATTTTTATTTTATACCATATATGTTTTATATTTTATTATCTTATTCCTCACATATTTCTTTTATCCTAACTAAACATGCATGTTGTTTTATCCTATTTTCTTAAATCAAATACTTCAACTCTTATTTTGATTATTATTTATTTTTATTACTTATTTCTTTAAGCTTGTGTTTAGTAGAGAGCAAAGAATAAGATAAGAAATAGAGTAAAAAAAATTTAAAAGTAAAGAGAAATATCTAAGAAATAGAGTAAAAACTTAATTGTTTAATTGAAAAAAAAATAAGTAGGAAATTTACATAAATAATATATATATATATATATATATATATATAAGATGAGAGATAAATAAATAAATAAATAAGAATGTGAGATTCACTGTCTTTTAAATTTTTTTCATTTTATTTTTTCTTAATCAAACAACCTTATTTATTTTCATTATCTCTATTTTATTTCTTATTCATTTCTTTTCCATCAAACAAGATATAAATATATTTTACTCATTTCTTTGAGTACAGAAAAGTTATGAGAAAAAGAAACTACTATTAAAAATTAATTATTTTTAATTTTTAATTTCATGAAAATAACTTATCTTTTAAGAAATTTCTTTTACTAATTTAAGTTATTATCTCTAATAAATAATGTTTGTAAAATACAGATGAATGCTGGATGATAATATTTACTAAACACAGCGGAGCGGAGTTTGAAATTAGATGTTTATAAAAAAAAAAAAAATAAAAAAAAAAAAAAAAAAAAAAAAAAAAAAAAAAAAAAAAAAAAAAAAAAAAAGATTTAAGAGGAGAGATAATTAGCGGGTTAAACGGAAAGTAAAGGAGAGAAGAGAGAGAGGTTTGGAAATTGGAATCCGAAATAGAATGGAAAGAAAGAGAGGGAGAGGGAGAGGGAGAGGTCCACATGCGTGTCTGAAAAGGAAGAAGGGTTGGAGCTAGCGTGGATGGAAATGATTGGCGACACGTAGTCCTTAGGAAAAAAGGAGGCACCACGTGTTCCAAAGGCAGGGCAAAGAGCGATGCGATGAAGGGTGGAGATAGCATACGGTGCCCCTGACGGTGACGGGCAGGCTGCCCGTGTGGCCCCCAGGTGAACCCTCTCACCGCCTACAGGCTACATAACCTTTTTTCCCCCAACCCCACTCCCATGGGTCCTCTACCTCTCAAATAAGGGCTCCTCTCCCCTCCACTATTTAACCACTACTATTACCACTCTCTCTTCAATTCAACTTACCTGGAAATGGCTGGAATTTGCTGCACTGTTGTCGGGGAAGGTGACGCTACTGCTCCTCTCGATTCCACCTCACGCCGCCGAAGCTTGGACCTCCTGCCCTTGAAATACATCGCTGACATGGCAGTGCCGCCGCCGCCGCCAGAGGGCTCCTGCAAACGTCCCAAGCTTCATATCACTGATTGCGAGGACGACCCAGAGACCGAGGAATCCGACCAAGACGACGTCAGCGACGACGACGACCACGACGAAGTCGCTCCCCAAACCAAAACTGCAAAAACCGCCAAGCTTGAAGAAGAACTCGAGGACTCTCCCAAGTTCGGCGTCACCTCCGTCTGCGGCAGGAGAAGAGACATGGAGGATTCCGTTTGCGTCCAGCCTTCCTTCACGACCCACGGATTCCACTACTTCGGCGTCTTCGACGGCCACGGCTGCTCTCACGTTCGTATTCTCCTCTCAACACTCAACAATCACGGATCTGGCTGTTTCCATTATTCTGTTACGCTTGTATAATTTCTTATCGTTATTTGCAGGTTGCGATGATGTGCAAGGAGAGGCTTCATGAGATTGTGAACGAGGAGATTCGCAGCGGGAGCGACAGTTTTACTTGGAAATCGATGATGGAGAACGGTTTCGCTCGCATGGACGACGAGGTTCATCGCCGCAGCCGGAGCGAGCACACCTACGCTTGCCGCTGCGAGCTTCGTACTCCTCACTGCGACGCCGTCGGATCCACCGCGGTGATCGCTGTCATCACGCGGGACAGAATCGTTGTCTCCAACTGCGGCGACTCCCGCGCTGTCCTCTGCCGCAGCGGCTTCGCCATCCCTCTCTCCTGCGATCACAAGGTTCATTTAATTATCCTCTCTCTCTCTCTCTCTCTCTCTCTAATTCTGTTTCGTTTCCCGAGAAACGAAACGAAAAGCGTTTTTCAGTTTCGTAACTGTTTTTTTAATACGTTTTATGCAGCCGGATCGCCCCGATGAGTTGCTCCGAGTCCAAGCCAGGGGAGGGCGCGTGATCTACTGGGACGGCCCAAGAGTGCTTGGAGTGTTGGCCATGTCACGTGCCATAGGTAATGAATGACTAATGAGTGAAATAGTGCCCACGATAGTATTAGTATGTTCCGTTAGGCGCATTTTATGCTTGATTTTAACGATGGTTTGTTATTTAGGTGACAATTATCTGAAGCCGTTCGTGATTTCTGAGCCGGAGGTGACGGTGACGGAACGGAGTGATGAGGATGAGTGTTTGATTCTGGCGAGTGATGGGTTATGGGATGTAGTGTCCAATGAGACCGCTTGTGGGGTTGTGAGGATGTGCCTTAGGGCGCAGAAGCAGAAGCAGAAGCTGCCGTCGCCACCCCCGTCTCCGGGGAGTGACGTCACGGCAGATGGGTCCGACCGGGCTTGCTCCGATGCGTCGATTCTGTTGACCAAGTTGGCATTGGCCAGGCACAGTGCGGATAATGTGAGCGTGGTGGTGATTGATTTGAGGAAAGAAGGAGGTCAATCATCCAGGGCCAGTGCCAGGGCTAGTTCCAGCGCTAGTGCTAGCGCTAACGCCAGCGCCGTTAATTAGTTAACGGCGGAGAGAAACCAATCAAAAACTAATAAATGTGTGAATGAGGAATGAATGCGGGTTTTAACCGTAATGGGCGCTGCACTGCACATCCTATGTTGTTGTCAGGACTTTGATAAAGGATGAGGAGACAATATCTAAGGAGGGGCGTGTGGCTTTTGTTTAGTCAATGTTGTTGTTGTAATGTAATGGGGTTCGTTCTAGGGGTAAAAAAAAATGAGCACGAAAACTGTAACTTTGGCAAATGAAAAAGTTATAGGAAATTTTAATGTAGAGGAAAATTCGAGTCGACAAAGGAATCAAACAATCCAGTCGACACCCCTTTTCTTTTGTCCATAATCGAATCTATAAAATTTCATTTTGCTGTGGTTCATTTCTATGTCAATTGTATTTGAGCAAAATTCCTCTTTCAACACTAGTCATATGCACTTCCTCTCCGAACGTTATGTGAGTTCTCTTTCTCCTTTATTTTTTATTTTTTTTTATTTATAAATTTATAACATTTTGCTTTGGATTCGTTCAATCTCCACCACCTGGAGGACTAGGTGGAACACGAGTCATATGCAGTTTTACCAGATTAGCACCAAAAAGTTTCAAAACTAGCCCTCCTCTCATTGAGGAATCGGCTATTCTTTTATTCCTATCAGCGGAGAAATAATAGTTTTCAAACAATTTTAATATCATTCAAGTGTTGAATGAGTTAACAGACAATTATCCTTTATAACCTAGCCTCTTTAGCTTGTGATAGATGTAAAACCTGGTTTGAAACATGAAACTAGTACTTTTAGGATTGATTTGGTCCAATGAAAAGCCTGCCCTGTAATGCAAGTGTTTTAGGATTGATTGTCCAATGAAAAGCCTACCATAAGTGTTTTCAATATCGATTCTCATTTGTGTTATCGTATTAAAATAATTTAAACTAGATTACTTTCTATCAGTTTTAAAATAATTAAAATGTAGACCTGTTACCTTGCAATGTAAGTGTTTTTAATATCGATTCTGTGTCACTGTATTAAAATAATATTACCTTGCACTGTAAGTGTTTCCAATATCAACTTTCATCCGTGTTATTGTATTAAAATAATATTTAAATTGATTTCTATAAAATAATGTATGACCTAATGGAAAATTTATCCTGAATAATATTTAAATCGATTTCTATAAAATAATGTGTGACCTAATGAAAAATTTATCCTGAAACGTTGACATGATGTTTTCAAAGTCAATTCTTGTCTTATTAAAATAATATGTGACCTAATGAAAAAAAAGGCAATTATGTTTTATAACTTCATCCTTTTCAAGTCTTGGTTGTCCAAATAAAGGATGCAGATTATCTTAATTAAACCCATTATCTATATTAAACTTTAATAATTATATTTAGATAAATTTTTTAAAAACTGGCAAAGAGGTGAATTTTCGGAGCTTTGCTGAGTGTTATATGATTTTAAAGAGTTCGTAGAAATATTTTTATGGAAGTGTACTAACTTGACATCACAATAATAATATCGAGAAGGAAACCAGGTTGAACAAGGTACTGAGCAAGTCGCGACATCAGAAAAATTATCAAATTTTGAATTTGTAGAACCACTTATAATAATGATTAGTCGTAAGGCAATGACAATGATAATGCTATAATCAAAATTAGAAAGGTGCACTAACAAATGCATCTATATCCCTCTAAATGCATGCCTCCAATAATTTCGTATCTTTCTAAGGATTAGGGTCCATCATTATTTTAATATCTATTTTTATGGAATGTTCCAATTTCATGTTCTCTATATTGGTTAATGATGCGGATCTGCTCGGAGACAAGATGGAACTCTTGCATCATGATGGGCAAACTAAGCATTATGTTGGTGTATCTTAACCAGAGTTGACAAAGTACAGAGTACATATAATACTGATTTCCATTCCTGTGTTTGAAGAAGTATTTGTATATAGTAGTAATAGTATTATAATTCTCACACGAATAATACTTTAATTCTCATCTTTGTATTCTTTGATTTTCTGTACTCACACCTGTTATAACTAACTTAAAAAATCATTCTCAAATCATCCAAACTTCACCATACAACAATATAGAATTATAATTCCAACAAGAGAGCCAACGACAGCGAGGATAAGTTGGGCCAAGAAAATTGTTATAACATTGAAACCCTCTCGTTTGGAGACACTCTGACGTTGATTGAAGGTGAGGTTACGAATTAGTGGAGTTTTTTCGGCAACTAGAGTGAAGAATAGAACAAGAAACTATTGATGACTAAAGTGAAGAATGAGAAGTTAGCGATGATTAGAGAGAAGAACATAGCATTGTTAACTAATAAGTACAACTTACACCAATATGAATATTTGTTTTAAAAATCCATTCATTTTTGGTAATTTTGAGCAAAATAAAATTAACCTTGTGCGGTAGAAAAGCATGACTTACTAAAGGCAAATTTCATAAGAGAACATGGCTAGTAAACTTTGTTTTAATAAAGGAAAAATTGTATTTACTTTCTCTTCGACCATCTTAGAACAGTGGATTTAAGCATAACTCAACCCTACAAAACCGGCTTGTAAGGTGAGGGTTGCTTTTCACTTATATATTATTCATTGCCTAATCTCTAGTCGATGTAGGACTTGGGTTTTTCCCAATACACCTCCTCAAGTCCAGGGGACTTGGTACGTGAAGAAATGATGGGTGGTCATTTTACGTGGAGAAATGGTGGGTGGCCCTTTTTAATGATCTAAGATTGGCGGACCCATTTTTTAAGAATCTAGGATTGCTCTGATACTATCTTAGAATAGTGGATTAAGCCTAACTCAACCCTACAAAATATGCTTATAAGGTGAGGGTTGTTTTCCACTTATATATATACTATTCAATTGCCTAATCTCTAGTCGATGTGGGACTTGGGTTTTTCTCAATACATTTTCCTTCTAATTTAAAAAAAAAACACTTACTTTCTTTAAAATAACGTCTTTAATACATTAAAGTGAAAGAATGAAAAAAAAGAGTTAATTTATGTTCCAAATTATGTGTCTATGTTCTTTTTTAAATTACATGAAGTATTTTATCTTCTTTATGAAAGTTCTCATCATTCTTCAATTTCAAAAATAGTAATTTATCAATTTATTTTTTGAAATTGTTCCATGGAATTGATATATTTTTTAAATCACAGCACATAAGATATTTAGGATATAATTTGGGAGTTAAAATTGAAGAAGAGATAAAATCTCATTCATTTTTTGATACTTGTATTAATATTTGTTCTCTCTTAATAGTGCATAAATGATATTATCTTATATAAAAGATTGTGTGAGTCACTTAGATAAATAAATAGTAAAAGTTAGCATTCACTTAAAATTAAAGGATAGACATGTCATTTAAAAAGATTTCAAGAGAAGTGGATACAATTTTTTCTTTAATAAAAAAGAAAATAATAAAATTGAACACAATCATTAAATAGCTCGATTTCTTAAGCATGTTTATAGAAGTCTAATTTCTGGTCATATGTATAAAGAAAACTTTGTTATAAAAAATAAAACTCACTTTAGTAATAATCTTTATGCTTTAAAAGTGAAGAGGTTGTGGGTTTTCCACAAGACTTTTCACTCTCGAGTGAAGAGGCTGTGGGCTGCATATCGTCGGATTAATTGGGTCGGAAGGTGACCACTTAACATGTACTTATATGTGGGATATGATTAAAGAGTTATGTATAGTAAAATAATCATTAATTGAGCACCTACAAAGCTTTATTTAGACGGAATTATGCTCGCTCTTAATCCACGTTGGCATTATAAAAAACGAGAAGAAAACCTAAAGAGAGACTTCAGTGATCTGGACTAAGGTTGTTGGAGGAACCATGCTTAAACAATCTATACCAGAGCAGAAAAAAAGAAAAAAAAGTAATTTCTGACTTTATATTGAGATATCTTTATTATAAAATGAAAAATAAAACAATAAAAAAGATAAATGACAAATAGGATGAGGATATATTACATATCGATTACATATTTACATGGAGTTCAATAAGGTGTGACCAAGGAGCTCTTCCATCTGCTGAATATCCAATAGATTAGTAAACAATTTTTTTAATACTAATTTAAGACATTTATATTATGCACATTCAAGTTATAACAAAATACTCATGTACTGCGAGAGTGAGAATGTCCTAATTTAAAATAGACGTCAAACAGTACAACCTTAATTACGGGTTTTACATTTGTATATATCTTTGTTTAATTTTATAATTAAATCGGTATACTTTGTGATGTTAAAGATAATGGGATTGTTCATATTTCAAAAAAAAAAAAAATATTCCATACAAGCTCAAATACTTGATATTATAAAAGTCTCGTAATCACAATTTAATTTTACTTTGGTGAAATTGTTAAATATTTTTTTTAAGTTTCATGTTTTTAAAATTAAACATAACTTACTAATTTTACTCTGGAGGGATAAGGATGGTCGGAGATTCGAACCCCCCTATGACCCAACTAACATAACTTACTAATTACTAACATTTGCCGATCCAAAAAAAAAAAAACATTTCCTAAATTTTTGACAAAAAATAAAAAATAAAAAATAAATATTAAATATCATTCGTACATGTGTTTGTCTCTCTCTAGCTTCTTTTTTTTTTTTTGGCATTATTTATTACATTTATTTTTCATTTGTTATATCTCTTGCCTCTCAAATTTATATACAGTTCTTTAGTTACGTGAAAATTTTACTTTTTAGTCTTACTTTCATGCAATTTTAATATAACTATTTTTATATTATTAATTAAAAATTATTTCAAATATAATGGTTAAAGTAATTATTATAAAAATTTATAAACTTATAATACAAAATAATGTTATAATTAAATGATAGTACGCACATATATATATATATATATATATATATATATATATACTGTGAATGAATTTTGATTAAATTATTATTTATTATTTTTAAATGTCATTGTTATTTTAAAAAAAAAATTACAATTCCTATTTATTATTTATTGTTTCTTAAAAAAATAAAACATAAATTAATAAATACTATAATTAATATCTTTATTGGTATTAAAATTATTTCAACTTATGGATCTTAGAGAATTATACAATTTTACAAGACATATCATTCATGGAGAATCATATAATTTTAAAGATCCTTTAATTTTTATAATTGATGTATTAGAAAATTATAGAACTTACACTATTACCATTTATCTCTTATTTATGATAAATATATATCATATTTAAAATTAAATAAAAATAAATATATATAAGTAAAATCATCTTATGCTTTAAAAAAAAACAGATCAATATCATTACCATACTATCAAATGTTACGACGATGATGAAACTATGCTGGGTGACGATAACTTCCACACGACACTGGAGTCA